CCTTTCTCTGTCCCAAAGGTGGAACATAAGAGGTCTGCTTAGACCCCTGATATTTCACTAAAGCCCCCCCAATGGGGCTCCTAAAAAATTGTAAAAAAGTAATTAAATAATAAAAATATTGTAAAAGAAAAAAAATAGTAAAAAAAACAATAATAATAAAAAAAAAATAACTACACCAATGTCGGAACTACCAGGTTGCACTTGCGACCGGGCCCTGGCATTCTGCCACAGGGCTAGGAGGGAAGGGACCCGGATGGGAGGTCAGATGGTCCCTTCATGGTTTCTTGCACCAGGGTCCTAGTTCTAGTTATGCCACTGATTAATACTGTTCTTTTCTGCATCGTCTCAGCCCAATACTTCTGCCCTTTCTTGCAGTAATGGCCGGAATCTCGTGCAATCCAAGCCTCATTTTCAGTCCAGGATTACTATGGCAACAAAGCCCGGCATGTCTATGATTTGCTGTGCACAGGGCTCTATTCTCACGGGATTTCAATGAGAAAGAGAATAGATACCGGAGACACTTCATTGGCCGGAACAGACTGATGGCACACAGAACGTGCCATAAATAGCCACAGATATGCGCATGCGCTGGTGACATCATGAAACTGCTCCTGCCCCGATTGCAAGAAAGAGCAAAAAGTCAGAAGAAAAACAACTATATACATTGATTATTAAAGAAGAACTCCAGTATAGGCAAAAAAAATAATTCATTAGTACACCCCCCCTACACAAACCGCTAAACAGTTGCCCCCGGTTCACATATCTGCGGGCATGTGGGCCGCGTTTTGCGCAGGCACGACAGCCCATTCCTTTGAATGGACTCCTGTGCCCCGGGACACGCAGGGAAGAAATCCCTGCACTTCTTTGGAAAACACAGCCAAGGTTCCCAGCACGGTTGCGGTTTCCAGTGCAGGTGGCGTGCCATTAGAATTAATGGCACCCGCCGGTCCACATGCCCCTGTGCAGGCGGTGCGGCTGCACGTATTTATGTGCGGATCAGCAACGGCACCACCCGCACAGATGTGAACCTAGCCTTATTAACATTTTGAAAATCCTGACCACTTAGGAGAAAAGTCTAATTGAATTGCCATGATCTCATCTCTGTAATTCAAAAGATAACAGCATCTGCTCTGCCAAGGAGGAGGTGTAACAGGCAATATTACATCAAATCCTCTCCTCTCTTTCTCTCTGCAGTAAAAGGAAACTACAGTTCCCATCAACCACAGGGAATTGTAGTGAATGTGGGCGGGTACACTAGGCCTGCACATGTTGAATTATAAATTTGAATTCACTAAGCTCACTTGCCTTTCATTTCAATGCCTTCACTCTGACTTCTGCTGCCTGTGCTCTGACAGGATTACTCAGAAAGTATTAAAGCCAGAGACATCCATTGTCAGAAGGGCTGCAATGACAGATCTTATCTGAAAGTTTCCCTTTGTATAATGCAAGAAGTTAAGATGTTGGTTTATTATGAAAACGGGAATTGTAATATATGAAAGTCTCCATTTTCCTGCTGATAAAGTCATTTAATATTTGCAGAGAACAGTATATACAATGAACAATAAATACAGAATACATGTGGTTACAGTTGAGGTACAGAATGCTACATCATTACATAGCCCCCCGACAGGCATGTACAGACAACGGAGACCTGTCTTTGCAGAACTGAGGCCCAGTTCACACTAGTGCAGGCTGTGCGCACCGCGCTTGCGCCTGTACGGCAGCCCATTCATTTGAACTGGCTGCTGTGCCCGCATTTCAAACAAAACACATCTGCAGGTTTCAATGCGGTTCCCGCGATCGTGCTGCGGGATGAGATGCGTGGTGGTGCCATTTAGACTGAATGACACTCCCACACGACTCACAAAAGAAACGCGGTGTGGCTGCGGGTGAGAGTGAACCAGGGGTGAAAATGGTCTAAAAATATTGCTTCCATCATGAAAACAAAAATGTAGCAGCATCCCCTGCACATGTGTTATTATAAAACTAGAAATCTATTGGTACATGAATTTGGACTAAAGTAGAACTCACAGCAAAAAAACACACATTTACATATTATATCTATGAGCCAGTTCACACCATGCCCACACATGAATCGTAAAGGAACTCACTGTGCGTTCCTGTGCAATTCAGACCGCATGCAAAACGCACTCCATTGCAATCAATAGAAAGTTAAGGACACCCCAAACGCAGTGCATTTGCCCGCATCGGATCACATGGTGCTTTCTTACCATGCGATCTGTTTACAGTGCGTTTTAAAAAGTAGTACATACACTACTCTTGGTGTGGTGCAATTGTAGCCCATTCAAAATGAATGGGTTGAAATCACACCACACAGAACTGCATGTGATTCATGTGCGGAAATGGTCGAACTTAACTTAAAGAGTACCTTTCCATAACAGTCTACATAATTTCCTGACGTGTCACAAAATACAGGAACAGTATCATTTTCTTTCCCAAAAAAACCTCAAACATTTTATCATAGAGAAAAAAACCCAGTCCAGTGACTTTGCCTAGGCTGCGTTGGCGTCATCAGTCTGCTGCAGGCAGAAGGAAGCATTTCCTAAGTCCCCTCTCCCCGAATGATCAGAATGTAACATTATAACTCTATGGCTGCAGAGGGGACTGATTTGTGTCAGACATTTGTGAACACAGCCGTGAACTGCAGAGGCAGCAGAATATACTGTACATGCTTGTGTTATCTGTGAGCCAGCAAGTATATGGTTAGCGTGGGCGATACCTGAACAAAGATGGCTCAGTCTTTCTGGATTGAAAAAGCAGAATGAAACATATTCAGGAGTATGTGATTTTTTGAGAGGTAATAAAAGCAGGAAGTGTTATGTCGCCACAATACTTAGCATGCAACTACCTACTATTAAAATTATATAGCCAATGAGATATATATATATATATATATATATATATGTAATATTTTTTTCCCTCTGTTGCTGGAAGCACCCCGGCCAGCCCACAGAATTCCGCAGTTTATATTTAAAGGAAGCTTGTGGGCATTAGCTCCTGAGAAAAAGGTTTTACCCCAAAACATGTATGTGTCTATGTGACTTTTATGTATTTACCCAATATTACCTGATACCCTCTACTGTATGCTGAGCAGTTCTTGTTACATCCTGCAATACATAATATATACATATTAGATGAGCACAAATGGTGGTGTGCTAGTCCTCTCATTATTCGTATGGATTCTCTGAAGCGTATGTGATTGAACCCCTATGTAGGGATATTAGGCACCCAAATACCTTTTTTAATGTTCTTCTCTACTTGGATTATTTGAAGTATGCAAGGGATTTTCTCATTATTTCTACTGAATAGAGAGGCTGTATTCTCCGTGAATACATAACATACAATTTTAGAGGTGTCAGTTGTTTTTTCCCACTGGTATCACTGGTCTCTAGTGAATGGATAGGCTGCATTCTCTGTGATGTCACTGGTCTCTAGTGAATGGATAGGCTGCATTATCAGTGATGTCACTGGTCTATAGTGAATGGATAGGTTGCATTGTCAGTGATGTCACTGGTCTCTAGTGAATGGATAGGCTGCATTCTCTGTGATGTCACTGGTCTCTAGTGAATGGATAGGCTGCATCATCAGTGATGTCACTGGTCTATAGTGAATGGATAGGTTGCATTGTCAGTGATGTCACTGGTCTCTAGTGAATGGATAGGCTGCATTCTCAGTGACATCACCAGTGTTTCTGGTGAATGGATAGGCTGCATTCTCGTGATTTCACTGGTCTCTAGTGAATGGATAGGCTGCATTCTCAGTGATGTCACTGGTCTATAGTGAATGGATAGGCTGCATTCTCAGTGATTTCACTGGTCTATAGTGAATGGATAGGCTGCATATTCAGTGATTTCACTGGTCTATAGTGAATGGATAGGCTGCATTCTCTCGTGTGATTTCACTGGTCTATAGTGAATGGATAGGCTGCATATTCAGTGATTTCACTGGTCTATAGTGAATGGATAGGCTGCATTCTCAGTGATTTCACTGGTCTCTCTAGTGAATGGATAGGCTGCATTCTCAGTGACATCACCAGCTGAATAAATCAGTTGCATCTTAGTAATGACATTAGATTCTAGTAAGTGGATATTCTGCATTTTTAGTGTCCTCATTAGTCTCTACTGAATGTATAGGCTGTATTCGTAGTGTTGTCACTGGTCTCTACTGAATGTACAGGCTGCATTCTTAGTGTTGTCACTGGTCTCTAGTGAATGTACAGGCTGTATTCGTAGTGTTGTCACTGGTCTCTAGTGAATGTACAGGCTGTATTCGTAGTGTTGTCACTGGTCTCTAGTGAATGTACAGGCTGTATTCTTAGTGTTGTCACTGGTCTCTAGTGAATGTACAGGCTGTATTCTTAGTGTTGTCACTGGTCTCTAGTGAATGAACAGGCTGTATTCTTATTGATGGCACCAGCCTCTACTAAATAGCCTATATTCTAAGGGTGAACTGGGATACACCATGATATATACTAACATACATATCGCTTTGGTGGCAGAAAATGGGGTTGGTATGAACACTGAGCCTAGGTTCACATCAATGCAGTGCGGGAAAAGCTGCAAATCCTGTGCATTTCCCGCACCACATTGCAATTGTATCATGTTCATGCGATCTGGTTCGGGTGTCAATGATAAATTAATGACACCCCGAAAACAAAATTGCAAAAAACGATGTGATTGCCAGAAACACCCATGCAATGCGATTCAGGTACGGATTTAAAAAGAGTCTTGCACCTTTTCGGTGCAGATGCGATGCAATTTGAGCCATTCAAAATGTATGGCTCAAATCGCACCGCAAAGACATTTGCATGTAATTCATACAGGAATGCGGTGCCATTCCTCTGCGAATTACATCCGGTGTCCCGCACCGCATAGTGTGAACCCGCTGTGATGGGAACCTAACAGCTGTATCTGTACATATTTATTAAAGTGCCTAGTGAAAAATGTAAGATAGGACACGCACAAAAAAAAAAAATCCGCTCATAGTCCACCACATAGCACTGAGTTCTCCAACGTGAAATCGTAGTGGAATCGGGAAAAGCTCTCATCCAGGTTGTAGACGGGCACAGGCTCTGGAAGTTCCTGGCAGATATTCTGCACTTCTAGAACATGAGGGGCGAGGATGAAAGGGATGTCGTTCAGTAAGTCTGCCATCGCTGGATTCCCGTCTGAAAGCTGACTGGTCAACTTGGTGGCTGCAGAATCACCTCTGTTCAGCTGCGGGGGGATTGCCGGCGGCATCTGACAAATCATACAAATATCACATTACTTCAGTGTAAAGTCAATATAAATGAACCCTCTGCTCTGCATTCTAATCAGTAGATTCAACTTCATTATTAAAGCCGACTCCAGACAGCCTTGTATTTATTAATACTTCATTAAATGTATATTTTTGATGAGATACTCCCAAAAGGTTAATCACTTCCATAGGAATGCAGACTAGTGGTGCACCGAAATGAAAATTCTGGTGCCGAAACCGAATTCAAAATGCACTGGCCGGAAACTGAAACGCGCAGTTTTTAAAAAAGAATATATTTATTAAAAAAAAAAAATACACTTTGATTAAAAAAAAAACAATATATACCCTAATTTGTAAACTATGAAAGAGGATATGATGGCAAGTAAATAGATACCCAACATGTCATGCTTTAAAATTGTGGAATGGCGTGAAACTGCGGTACTTAAAAATCTCCATGGGTGATGCTTTAAACATTTCTACAGGTTAGCAGTGTAAAGTTACAGAGGAGGTCTAGTGCGAGAATTATTGCTCTGACGTTCATGGGGATACCTCACATGTGTGGTTTGAACACCATTTACATATCTGGGCATGGCCTACATATGCGTTCACCACTACGTGCGAGCGGGGGGGGGGGGGGGGGGATGGAGGGCGCTTTATCTATTTAATGTTTTGTTTGGTTTTTTTTTTGTTTTTTTTTGCACTGTTCCTTTAAAAAACTTTTTAATCACTTTTATTCTTATCACAAGATAAGAATTGTATGTTAGTGCAAATAAAAAAAGTATCACGGACAGTACTCAATTTATTCTTATCACAAGAAATGCATACACCCCTTGTGATAGAAATAATTAGTGACAGGTCCTCTTTATGGAGAGATATAGGGTTCAATAAGACCCCACATCTCTCCTCTGCAATGTAAAGCATTGGATAAAACAAAAAAGCATTGATCTAGTGCTTTAAAAAAAAAAAAAAAAAAAAAATTGCCGGAATGGAAAGTGACCGCTCCGGTCCTCAAAGGGCATAGAGATGAGTGGCGGCCATCTTTCCTTCACTCATCTCTATGCCCAGAGCCAGGATCGATGGTTTCTTAGGTAAGGTTGAACTACCGAGCAGCGGCTGGCGGGGTTTTTTCGGCACCTGTATCGGTGATTATTTTCACTTTAGCCGACGGCCGAAAGGGGTGTTTTCGGCCAAAATGTTTCGGCCACCGAAATTTCGTTGCATCCCTAATGCAGACCCTGCCACTTCCCTTATTAGAGCCCAACATCAGCCGATTAATAATGAAAAAGTCACTATCAGTATCCAAAAGACATAGAAGAACAAACAGTTTTCAGAAATCAGAAATAGGTAGGAATCTGCAGCAAAGTTTGTGAAAATCCTTGCAATGTACATAGACCACCCAGAGGGGATGTTTTTCTTTTTTTCTCAACAAAAGTGTGTTACTCTTTAAATGCAAACAGTGTGAGTAGCAGAATATGATTTGAAGTCATCAGTCCCTCTACAGCAGAGCTCAGACTGGGAGAGGGAGAAGCAGCAAGTGCCAGAAGCATACTGAGAGAAGTAGAGAGAAGAGTGACAAAGAGATGACCTCATCAGTCTGCTGCTTCTCCTTTCACTGTCCTGTCACAGGCCAAGATCTGTGATACTTAACCATTTCCTGCCTATAGGATGTCATATGAGTGTAGATATAGCTGCAGGCATCATCCAGGCATCTTCTTTTTCGGCCAGCGATTCCCTGTGTTGTAAAAGCCATCGTAGCACCTGATTAGCCGCTAGATTTCTTTTACAGACAGCCTGAGGGGATGTCCCCCTCTTCCCCCCACCCAAAGGCGCCTCTCCATGCTCCTGGGGAGTCGAAGAACCAATGTGGTGGTGGGTTACCCTGATTAGCCGCTAGACTGCTTTTACAGACAGCCTGAGGGGATGTCCCCCTCTTCCCCCCACCCAAAGGCGCCTCTCCATGCTCCTGGGGAGTCGAAGAACCAATGTGGTGGTGGGTTACCCTAGATCTCTATGATCCTGTTCCATGGGCGTATCCAATTTTAAAGTGTGACTTGTTAGGTATCAATTTACCATAATCTTTTATATTTTAACAAAAAATTAGGTATTACATTGAGGTTGCTTTACTAAAACTGGAGAGTGCAGAATCTGGTGCAGCTGTGCATGGCAGCCAATCAGCTTCTAACCTCAACTTGCTCAATTAAGCTTTGACAAACAAAAAACCTGGAAGCTGATTGGTTTCTATGCAGATCTGCACCAGATTCTGCACTCTCCAGTTTTAGTAAATCAACCCCATTATGTTTGTATGCACTACAATTCATTAAAGTGTATTCTTTCCAAAAAAATAGCGTTTGAAAAAATGCTGCGCAAATACTGTGTGACATAAAAAAAATCGCAACACCCCCCATTTTATTCTCTAGGGCCTCTGTTTAAAAAAATATTTAATATTTGGGTGTTTAAAGTCATTTTCTAGCAAAAAAAAAAATCAGATTTTTACATGTATGTGAGAAGTGTCAGAATTGAACCAATAAGTTGTTGAAATAGCGAAACCCTAAACAAAGACCTGAAATACATCTATATTTACAGTTTTACCTGTCAAAGGATTTGTAATTCTGTTCAGCTGGTCTTATTTATGCACCTCTACTGCAGCGTACAGCCAGGAAACAAAAACACTTCCTGGTTCAGTTTATTTAATTGATTGTCCAATCAGCAGACTAGTAGTAGAATGAAGGAAAAGGATTTTCTGAAGCTCAAAGTGGAGTTCCAGTCACACTGTAAAAAAGATAAAAGTCAGCAGCTACAAAAACTGGAGCTGCTGACATTTTAAAAACAGCCACTTATCTGTCCCATGATCCTGCAGTGTCCTCACCACAGCCTGTTTCACCGGCCATCCGGTGTTCTCAGTCCGGCATCTCCAGTGTGTGACAGCTTGTGGCTTCACAGCCGGGTGCCCAGAACGCATACGCAAATAGCGCTGCGCTTTCTGAATGGTCCCGTAGTCTTCTGGAACCTGTCGCGTCAACTTCGCTTTCAATCGCCTAGACCAGTGGTGGTCTGCAAACTGCAGCCTGGGGGCCAGATGTGGTCCTTTCCTCGCCTTTATCAGGCCCTTGGGCACTATTTCTCCAACTAACACCAACAATGGGGCACTATTCCTCCCACTGACACCAATGATGAGGCTCTATTCCATTCACTGACACCAATGATGGGGCACTATTCCTCCCACTGATACTAATGATGAGGCACTATTCCTTCCACTGATACCAATGATGGAGCACTATTCCTTCCACTGACACCAATTATGGGGCACTATTCCTCCCACTGATACCAATGATGAGGCACTATTCCTCCTACTGACACCAATGACTGGGTACTATTCCTTTCACTGGCACCAAGGAAGAAGCATTCCTTCCACTGACACCAATGATGGGGCACTATTCCTTCCACTGACACCAATGATTGGGCACTATTCCTCCCACTAACACCAATGATTGGGTACTATTCCTTTCACTGGCACCAAGCAGGAAGCATTCCTTCCACTGACACCAATAGTGGGCCCTATTCTTCCAATGACACCAATGATGGGGCACTATTCCTTTCACTGACACAAAGGATGAAGCATTCCACCCACTGATACCAATGATTGGGCACATTCCTTCCACTAATACCAATGATGGGGCACTATTCCTCCCACTGATACCAATGATGGGGCACTATTCCTCCCACTGATACCAATGATGGGGCACTATTCCTCCCACTGACACCAATGATGGGGCACTATTCCTCCCACTGACACCAATGATGGGGCACTATTCCTCCCACTGACACCAATGATGGGGCACTATTCCTCCCACTGATACCAATGATGGGGCACTATTCCTCCCACTGATACCAATGATGGGGCACTATTCCTTTCACTGACACCAATGATGGGGCACTATTCCTCCCACTGATACCAATGATGGGGCACTATTCCTCCTACTGACACCAATGATGGGGCACTATTCCTCCCACTAATACCAATGATGGGGCACTATTCCTCCCACTGATACCAATGATGGGGCATGGTTTGCCTTTTCTACTCACAATAACCACAGTCCAGCCCCCTCAAAGTCTGAATGACAATAAACTGACCCTTTGTTTAGAAAGTTTGGAGACCCCTGGCCTAGGAGATCACAGCGGAAGAGGGAGCGGGTACCTGTGAATTTTGGGTACCCGCTCCACCTCCCCCGCTCCCCAAAGGTGCCAATCCTTAATGATGAGTGGGGGACCCGTCTTTAAAGTGGACCTTCCCCTTCTGGGTGGAGCTCTGCTTTAATCAGGAAAAGAAATGCAGCACCTGCCTGTCTAAGCAGGTGTGTAAATCGTAAGACCTGCTATACCCAAATCCTGTGTTTGGCAAGCAAAACAATTTACATATGTGTATTTCAAATCCATATTTACCTGTTTGCATGTCTATCTGACACCCTGTCCACCTCTCCATAGTGCAGGAGCAAAGGCAGACATAAGAATTTCTTGAATTTGACATGCTTGGGAAAGGCTGGCGGCGGCAAGGCACTTCTTGAAACACACACTTCCATTATTCATTGACCTTTCTTGGATTCCAAAGCTTTTAAATTCTAAAAGGCTACAGGAAGCTGGCTGGAGACCAAAGGCAAAAAGCACCGGTTGAGTTCCCCAGCAGGGGGGGGGGGGGGGGGGGGGGGGGGGGGGGGGGGGGGGGGGGGGGGGGGGGGGGGGGGGGGAGTTCTACATTACCTGGTAGGGCAGACTGTAGGGCAGATCTGACGCGGGATATGACGCTGGGCCGTTCTGCCTCTCCGCCGCAGTCTGTCCTGTAGAGAATTAGTGTAAGGTTACTCATCTCACTGAGATATCTGGAAGACTTTGAAGGCAGCTTACCCTCCTGCATTAGGAATGGATACAGCACTTATTTCCATATACACACAGGCTGGCCCTATATAGAAGCTCTGATTTACATCAACATGAGAACATTAAACATCGCCCGCCACTTCTAACATTAACCAACTTACCTTCATAATCCCAACACTCTCCCTGCAAAAACGCAGCTAGAGCAAGAAAGGAAATTGAGGGTCACCGTCAAACTTGATAATTCTATTGAATGGGCAGCACATTGGCTAAGTGGTTAGCACTTCCGCCTGGCAGTACTAGGGTCATTGCTTCGAATCCCAGCCACAGCACCAGCTGCCTGGAGTTTGCATGTTCTCCCTGTGCCTGTGTGGGTTTCCTCCGGGTACTCTGGTTTCCTCCCACACTCCAAAGACCTGCTGGTAGGTGAATTGGCTCCTGTCTAAATTGTCCCTAGTATGTGTATGTATGAATGTAAGTTAGGGACCTTAGATTGTACACCCCTTGAGGGTTAGGGACTGATGTGAATGTACAATATATATGTAAAGCGCTGCGTAAATTGACGCCGCTACTGTATTTAAGTACCTGAAATAAAGAAAAATAATAAATAATAATATTTATTATAAAATAATAAATAAATAAATGCTAATATGTATAATTCAGGGATAAACAAGTTCACACACACTACAATGTGATAGGCATTATTAAAGTGGACCTTTAAGTATCCTTGCAAGTCTGCCTCAATAAATTCCTGACATGTCACAATATACAGCAACCCTTCATTTTTCAAAAAGCTGTTCTTGAACTTTAGTTCAGTGACTCTGCCTAGGTTAACATGCTGACAGTCTGCTGCAGGTAGGAAGAACCATTTTCTCAGTCTCCTATCCCCCCAGTGATCAGGTGGCAACATTGTAACTCTGTGGCATGCAAGTCACAAGGCTCAAGCTTTGAACTTTAGTTCAGTGGCTCTGCCTAGGCTAACATGATGACAGTCGGTCAGTCTGCTGCACATAGGAAGATCCATTTCCTCAGTCTCCTATCCCCCAGTGATCAGGTGGCAACATTGTAACTCTGTGGCAAGCAAGTCACAAGGCTCTCACCTTGAACTTTAGTTCAGTGGCTCTGCCTAGGCTAACATGATGACAGTCGGTCAGTCTGCTGCACATAGGAAGATCCATTTCCTCAGTCTACTATCCCTCAATGATCAAGTTGCAACATTGTAACTCTGTGGAATGCAAGTCACAAGGCTCAAGCCTTGAACTTTATTTAATTCAGTGACTCTGCCTAGGCTAACATGATGACAGTCGGTCAGTCTGCTGCACATAGGAACATCCATTTCCTCAGTCTCCTATCCCCCAGTGATCAAGCTGCAACATTGTAACTCTGTGGCAAGCAAGTCACAAGGCTCTCGCCTTGAACTTTAGTTCAGTGACTCTGCCTAGGCTAACATGATGACGGTCTGTCAGTCTGCTGCAGGTAGGAAGAACCATTTCCTCAGTCTCCTATCCCCCAGTGATCAGGCAGCACCATTTTAACTCTGCAGCAAGCAAGTCACAAGGCGAGAGGCTACAGCAGTGGCTGATCTGTGTCAGACATTTGTGAACACAGCACAGAGCTACGCAGGCATCAGGATTTACACCATTCTGTCATCTCCACGTTTGCATCTCAGTCCAGGAAGTCAATGGTGACCCTGGATGATGCCTGAACATATATGGTTCTGATCTTCTGGAGAGAAAAGCAGATGAAGGCATTGTCAGGGACAGTACTGTGAGAGGTAAAGAATACTTAGAAGTGGTAAACTTGCATTAGCCGACTGAACTTGTAGTGCCGCTCAAAGCCAGAAAGCTCACAATAACCCCGCTGGTAACAGAGAATGGGAGCCAGTGTCCTAATATTGATTCAGGGCAATGACAGAAAGAAGCGGACACCACATCAACCCCCCCATCCCATTAAAGATAGCAAAGTTGGCCTCAACTGCCGCCCCAGCCACAGTCACCGGCGCGTTTCGCCCCACTCACCGGGGCTTGGTCACCAAGCCCCCAGTGGGCAGGGCAAAATGCTCTGGAAGCATGGCTGGAACGTTGACTGTGGTAAACCTCATTTGGCTGTACTTGTCCTGTGGATCACAGTGGGGATTGCAGTTTGTTGTGCACTCCTGTGATTCGTTTTCAGTTGACAACAGGCTAAAGTGGGCAGTCAGCTGATGCCACAGAACCAGTCCAGGTTCAGGAAAGAGGGGGGTTTTGTGAAAAGAGATTCACAGAAAAGCGGCTACATTATGAACAGACCGTGACACTCAGAAAATTTTCCAAAAATTATGCTTTATTACACAGATATAAATATGACATATGGGCATTCGCCCTGGTTTACCATCACCTCAGTATGAGACAATAACACACAGACCTAAAACCATATAAAATGACATCAAGACCGGTCTAAATGTATGTGCAACAGAAAAAGAGACTGCAAGAGTCTAATATCTCTGTAGTACAAACACATAGGTAAACACTTCCCTAAAGAGGTGTATCCAAAAATTATACCATAGGTATACCATAATATTAAATAATGAATTTACACCAATATCATAATGGTGAATCCCGAACAGGGAATCCAAAAATTATACTATGGATATACGTATATCACATGTATGAAATGCAGTAAGCACAATAAGCGTGAAGAGGGGAACAGTAAGCCTCAGGCCTGTTTGGAAAAAGACATAAATGTCAAATATATGATGCAATACACTACACTACAAAAAGAAGTAGAAGTCGATCTAAACGAAGAGGGATTTTCGTTCACATTCTAGATCAATGGGAGAAACCATGTCTAGTGAAAGTGAGTCTGAAAACCTTGGAAAATCTGTTTCTTTTTTAGACCAACAAAATGGAGAACCTCCTCATATCCATCAATCACAGATGGGAAGAGGATCCAAAAAGAAAGTAGAGGAATCCTTAGGAAACAAACATCAGGAGGACAAGGGCAGAACAAGAAGTCAGAGGAGGTAGCAGAAGAGAACATTCATGACAAAAAGGTAATTAATTTGGCCAATTTTCCACTCAAAAGGGAACATATCTCTCTATTAAACAAAGGTATGTCCTTCTCACCAGTGACCCCCATGGACGAGTTCGAGGTATTCAAGGATGTGAACTTATTTCTAAGAAAAGTCTTCTTGAGAATGATACATGGTAATCCTACCATTTTGGAGGATATGGCCTCCGACTCGTCCATGGAGGACCGCAAGATACTGGATATAAAATTAAAAATTAGTGAAGCGCTTTTTCTGTATCACATGAATACAATCATGTATCTCCATATAGTGTAATTATAAATCAAAGTGACCACTATATATAATTTTAGGTGTGTTGACTCCCTCTAGTGGAAAGAAAAAATAGTGTCAACCAAAATAGCTAAATAACACACATTAGGAAACTAAATATATAGTGCATAAATCAAATATAATAAACAGAATTATATATACGTGAAAACAGAATATTGGCCACATACAATAGTGTCTAAATTATACATAAATAATATATGCCATAAGTGAACAAGACAATATCAAAGGTGAAAAAAATATTCCATGCATGTGACTGTGCTTTAAGCTGGAACACACACTGATATCTCCACTTCTAAGTGCAAGTACTCTCCTTCAAATGGCAGCAAAGGCCTGCTCACCTCCCTTCCTCGACCCACACAGGGCCTCAAAGCAGTTACCAATGGTGTATTCCTCTGGCAGACTCCTTATTCCTCCTCCTCTCTTATGCAACTCCTCCCTTCCTCGACCCACACAGGGCCTCAAAATGCAGTTACCACCTCAGTGGTGTATTCCTCTGGCAGACTCCTTATTCCTTTCTTCTCCACTCTTTCAACTCATAAAAAGACAAGAAAGCCTTCCATAGTGTAGTAAATTTAATAGGCAAAGTTAAAAGTTACAAAGTTTTCCACTCACATGCTCCTTTCCATAAAAAAGCGTTTTTCCCAGCCTGTGGGTAGATGTGCATGCACCTGGGGGAATCCAATATGGCCACTGTGTCCGGACATACGTCACCAGGAAGTAGACAAAACCGACGCGTAGCGTCACGTGCGTCGTGACTTCATCAGGGTTACCGCCCCCTGGTGACTCAATGGTATTTATAGAGAAAAAAAAAAAAAAAAAAAAAAAAAAAAAAAAAAAAAAAAAAAAAAAAAAAAAAAAAAAAAAAAGAAAACCTAATTGGATTCCATTGTGAGAGCAGGCATACGGCGGACATCTTATTAGAGTCTGTGCACTCACATACATGAATCTAAGTCCCATATAAGGGACTCTAGTGCTGGATACCAGATATAAATCTCCATATGTCATATTCAAGATATACACATATAGGAGTAAACAAATTATATATTTAAGCCTATATGAACCACATCTACATCTTTAATGGTGCACTAGCACCAAAATCTTAAACTTTATTAATCGTAAATATTAAAACCATTAATCTTAGTGGGCTTCCTTATTAGGTAGATATATATATCCTAAATAAAATAAAAAATAAAAATAAAAACTATAAAAAATAAAAATAAATATAAATAAAAAAATAAATATTAAATATAAATATAATAAGTAATGGAGAAAAAAAAAAAAAAAAAAAAAAAAAAAAAAAAAAAAAAAAAAAAAAAAAAAAAAAAAAAAAAAAAAAAAAACGCATGAGGTACATGTTCCCTCATGCGTTTCCAAAAAAAAAAAAAAAATAAAAAAATAAAAATAAAATAAAAGGTATAAAAATAAATAAAAAGTAAATCATTAATAAGTAATGAAAAAAAAAAAAAAAAAAAAAAAAAAAAAAAAAAAAAAAAAAAAAAAAAAAAAAAAAAAATTTTGGATATATCTACACAACATTGTAAATTAATTCGAATTTTTTTTTCATTTTTTTTTTTTTTTTTTTTTTTTTTTTTTTTTTTTTTTTTTTTTTTTTTTTTTTTTTTTTTTTTA